CCGTAGAAAGCAGCAGCAGCGATGGCAGCGACACCAGCAACAATGGAAATGAGGGAAAGGATGGGGGTGCTGCCCCCACCAATGGCCCGGCCAGACTCAGGGTCGTAGCGCGCAAAGCGCTTCTTGGGGGCTGAGCACTGCGGGCACTCGTAGGAGGCGGGCTGCAGCGAGGGGACAGGATGTGGAATGAGGTAGGGGGGGTAACAACAAGTCAGTCTACGGGGGTCGAAAGCGAGTAAAGAGCTTCTTGGGGGGCGGGCTGCACACAGAGGAAGGGTAGTGGCGAGGGGAAACATAGAGGGAGTTGAACGAATGATGGGAAATCAGAAAAAGGTGCGGGGGGAAATAGGTAGGTTTAAGAAGGTGAAATATGGTCAATACGCTTCTTGCAACATACCCGACACGCACCAAGCATTTCCTCCCACCTCCCATGCACCACGCACTTTTCCTCCCCACATAACTCATTGTTCTCGAGTTTGGATTGGTTGAAGTCATAAAAACAGGTTTCTGTCTTCTTATAATGAAGCCGCAGGCCCCAGACATATATACTCTTTCAATCTTAATGTGTACACAGCACACACCTGATCCTTGAAAGGGCTTGCTCAGAGTGTAGATAGACCCACTGTCCAGGCAGATGTGCGTCGCCGGAGCCACACCCTTGGTCAACTCAACAGTCAGCTCCCGTGCACCGCACTCAACACCTGCTTTTTCAACGCACCTGGTCCTCGAAGGGCTTGCTGAGAGTGTAGATGAACCCGCAGTCCAGACAGATGTGCGTTGCACGGGCCTGTAGAGGAGTGAGAGAGGCCATGGAGAGGGCAGGCAACGTGGGGTTTGGAAGTGAGGGAGCGAAGGGGAGGTAGGGTGGAAGGGGAAAGGCAATTCTTCCATCCTCACAATCTCAAGCAACATCTTGGGTCTCTGATATTTCTCAGAAGCCTGCTCAGCCATGATCTCCCCATTTCTTCCCATCCTCACAGCTCCAACGCCCTACCTTCCGACCCTCCACCCTCTCTCCCCCACGTCCTCCCATCCCATCCCACGCCTCCCCCAATTAATTCCACTCTCTAGTCCCACCACCCCACCTTCTGTGTCTCAGTCAGCTAACGCCCAGATCATCACAGGGCGAGCATTCACTCGTCAACTCAGAAACCATTCTCCCTGCCTCGCCCCCTCCTCACCGCCCAACCTTCTCAGCTTCACTCAGCTTGCACCCAAACCAGGACGGCGCAGACGTTCCGGAGATCTTACTTCGAACTGAAATCCCTTCCTCACTGCCCTTACATGACATCCTCTCGCCCCCATCCCATCCTCTCCTTCCCACCGCCCTACCTTCTGAGCTTCAGACAGCTTGCGCCCGAAGCGGGAAGGCGCGGGCCTCTTAGGCAGGCGCTTCACGTCCACAGCGGCGCCCCTGGGGGGAGGAGGGAGGGGAGGAGCGGGGGGGGAGCGGGGGAGGAGCGTGAGGCGAGGGAGGAGAGAGGGAAGGAGCGGCGGAAAGAGTAAGGAGGGCGCGGAGGGAGGACGGCGCGGGCCTCTTAGGCAGGCGCTTCACGTCCACAGCGGCGCCCCTGGGGGCAGGAGGGAGGGGAGGAGCGGGGGAGGAGCGGGGGAGACGGACGGAGTGCGGGACGCGCGCGTTAAGGCGTCCCGCGTGCATATAGAAGGGCATCAGCGTGCATGTAGAAGGGCATCAGCGTGCATGTAGAAGGGCATCAGCGTGTGACACGTGTGGAAGCGCAGAATTCTGTGATTTATGCAACGCAATCGTGGTCCTGGAGAGGAGAAGAATCGAAGGAAGCGAACCTTCTGGTGCAGTGCAGACACGCAGCATTTTCACTTGGACAAGAAGATCTGTTTCTGTGATATATGCAACGCATTCGTAATGCTGGGGAGGAATTGAAGGAAGCGAACCGCTTCTGGTGCAGAGAAGCAGACTTGTCACTTGACACCAGAAGATCCGTTTTCTTCTGGTGCGTGCAAAGCACTTGGCACTAGCTGCTGCTGCTGCTGCTTGGGCAACGCCAGGCGAGCACGATCTAGGCGAACTCCAGCTCCACATTCGCGCCTCGCACGCACCTCGCGAGCTTCGCACGTACCTGGCGAGGACGACGTAAAAGGAGTCGGGCTTAGCGTTGACGACAACGCTGGTAACCCGATGACATTTTCGCACATCCACTTGCACATACCGGGCGAGGACGAAATAGACGGAGTCGGGCTTGGCGTTGACAGCCGTGCGCGTGAAGCCGAGGTTATCGGACGGCCAGAGCTCGTCGCCAAAGAAGCTGCTCGTGTACACAACTTGGTCCCCGGCCTTGATCCCCGCCTTCGCCGCGTTGCTACCGGGGGCGACGCCCTGGGGAAAGGGGTGAAGAGGGGGGCCGGACCGGGGAGGATGGGCAGGGGGGACCGGGGGTGAGGTTTGAGCACACGAGGAACGGACGGCCAGAGCTCGTCGCCGAAGAAGCTGCTCGTGTACACCACTTGATCGCCGGCTTTAATGCCCGGCTTCGCCGCGTTGCTGCCGGGGGCGACTCCCTGTGAATACAGGAGGGGGAGGGAAAGGGAGAGAGAGGCGGGTGGGGAGGTAGGTCTTGAGAACGCGGGGAACGGACGTGGGTAGGTTGGAGACATGGACGAGCGGAAGAAAGGGGGGAGGAGGGACAGGGGGGGGAAAGGGGGAGGCGGGGGGACGGGGGGAAGGGGAAAGGAGCGAGGAGACTCACCGAGATCTGCACGCCACCGCCGGGCTTGTCGCCGAGCGTGAGGCCGAGCGGCTTGTCCACCTCCACCTCGTACTGCCCGCCCGACGTACGCGCCGTCACCGTCGCCGGCCGGCCGGCTGACTTGGCGGCCTGGAATGGCCGGCTAGCCGCCTGGGCCTGCTGACGAACGGCCTCGCCGAGGAACCCCGTCTGCGACAAGCGACATCGCAGCACGAAACAATACTGAAATATTATGACTAGCGAAGAATTCGGCTAACTCCCAACTTATGTTTAACAGTCGATTTCGTTCAGCGTCAACACGTTCAAGACCGAGCGTTATTTCTTACCCGCAGATTGCGCTGCTTGAGCGGCACGAGTCCAGCGGCGCTGAGAGCATTGTCCTGGCTGAAGGCAGCAGTCAGCCTCGGCGCAACGGTCACCTTAGCTGACGTGGCAGCGACGGAGGAGAGGGCCATGACGGGCGCGAAAGACAACTGAGAGCGTGGGAGGAAAATGCGGAAACTTGCTGCTGGAATGCGTTTGGCACAATTCCAAACAAATTGCTGAAATTGAATTTACACTACGCAGGCAGCTATGGCTGTCAGGATGGATATCACCCACATGTTCCCGAGGTGGATTCATTGCTGAGTCAGCATTAGGAAACCTACGTGCGACTATCTGGAGCAACACCGATGCAGATTCAATGCCAGCTGGTATTCTTTCTTAGGTTGGCGAGCTGTGAACGACGTGGCAGTAGCTTGTGTGTGGATAACGAGTGGACGCGTGCTTGTTGCGAGATGGAGCATCGTTGTTGACGAATTGACACAAGTCCCCTTTCGTCGCCGAAGGGGGTGAAGAAGGTCCGCCGGGCAGCGATGTGGCGACTGAGCAATCTTGTGGCTTGAAATGCTTCTTGCGTTCTGGACACCGTAACACACAAATTGCTAGCCGCCATGTTGCTTCAGAGATCTTCCATTATAAAGGAGCACGCAGTAAAAAAACAAGACAAAGTGTAACTTAACGGCGTTATTGAAACCCTACCTCGTAACCTCGCTCAAACGGATTGAAACAGCGAACACACCTGAGACCTACTAGCAACCCGTGACAACGCATCCCACCGTACAGCAGCGCATCTCACGTTGTGAACGCAACGAATCTTATCGCAAATCCAACAACTGCGAGTCGGACGTGAACCACCCACGTGCATACAACGCAATCGAGGCACTCTATACACGCATCTCGGTGAGCAACAGTGCCAAATCACCGCCCCTGCTACACCCAGAGTGTTCTTTCCCTATGCCGACCTTGCACCACCCACCCTCCGACATTCAACACTGTTTAGAGCCGTCCGATAGTGGCCCGCTTGGCAGATGTGCGTAATAACGAGTAGGGTACTAGCGTGTCGCAAGTTGGTTGGTGCCTTGTTCCCTCATATCCCTGCCACGGAACGCGCTCCGTTCACTGCACCACTCTTTACTTCTCCGCGTGCGGTACGAGTGCCATCAGCAAGGAAACCATATTCCTCTCAATCAGGGAAACCAATGTCTTTGCGCCCCCCTCCTCCGCTAACATGAGCGCAACATCACGTGCGCCATGCAAAAAATGCGCCTGTCCCGCCGCCAAGACAGTGTTGCGGCTGCGTTTGCAGCTCAAGCGACCGACCCCACTTGAAAGCACAGTGGAAATTTGTGGGGCTGGTTTCGCAATTTCCAACCAATCAAGAAGCACGATGATCTTTGTGATGAACTTGCCCTTGCCCTTGGCGGCAGGCCGGTCTTCTACAGCGATGAACTTCAAGGGTGGCGCGGGTTCCGCGTGTTGCGCTGGTTGCGCGGCTTGCTCTTGTTCCGCTGGTTGCGCATTACGCGCAATGAGGACGGCTGGATTGTATCTTGGGAGCTGCTGTCGCTTCAGCCTTGGACCTTGCGTCAACTCGACTCTGCCTCCGCGCACCCTTCACTGCACTTCCCCTGCCGCGGGGCTAGACCGAGAAGCATTGCCGCCACGGCGGTGCTTCGTGGTTTACAGATCAAGAAACCCCAGTCGCGATCTGCCGCGCTTGGGCCTTCGATGCTGCGCGTCGTCTCCTGATTCCCCACGCCCACCAATTCCACGTTAAGTCCCGAGTCTCTACGTAGCACGCTGCTCAGCTTATATACCACACACCGGCATATAAAGCACGTTGCTCCTCAAGGTCCTCACCACCTGCCATACCGTCTTGCTTTCGTCCATACTGTTTCTAGCCTTCTGGGTGGAATAGCCACGAGTCCTGACGCGTGCGTACTGCTTTCGTCCATGGCTTCTCAGAGCCCGCACAAAAGGGTCCGCGCTTCTCACAACCCGCACTGGCGGGTTCTTGCCGCGTCGGTGCTTCTCGCGCTGCTCCTGTTCGCGCCGCCCGTTCCCGCGCGCACCATGGACGCCGCCGATGACGGCGGGCACGGCGGCGGGGATCACGAGATTCCGTCGCAAGGCAAACTAACGTCGCGGGACGTGTCGATTAGCAGCAAGCGCGCGTTGCGGAAGAAGCTGAAGAAGTTTGTGGATCCGCTGCCCGTTCCGCCGGTCGTCAATGCGGACCGGCTTCCGAAAGACTCCAGCGGCGCCGCGGATCTCACCATCACCGCTTTTAGCGTGAAACGGGTACGTTGTTGCCGGGACAGTTACACTTGTGCTTCCGGTTCTTTATTTTCAAACATGCGCCCCCTTTTTTTCTTTTTCAAAACGTCATTTTTAATGTGCAACGCGTCCTCTAATATCGCAGAAATTCCACCGCGATCTGCCCCTAACCCGCACGTACGCGTTCGGGCTCACACGCAAGTCGGCCAGCGTGCCTGGGCCGACGATCATGGCGCGCGTGGGAGCGCCGCTGCACGTGACATGGCAGAACAACATCACGGATCAGCAGCATATCATGCCCGTCGATTACACGCTGATGGCTCCCAAGCTCAAGAAAGGGGGCGTTCCTATCAGTACGTGAATTTTTCTTATTACTCACATCGCTTCCCGAATGAAAGCTTGAATACACAAAGGGTTTCAAGAATTAGTTAGTGTTATCAGCATTACCGTGTAGCGTTGCTATGTTCATTTCAGTTATTCAATCTCGTTTCCCCCCTCCCTTTTCCTCCACCTCCCCTTTCCCCCTTACCCCCCTTCGCGGCTACAGCTGTTCATTTGCACGGCGCACAGGTCTCCAGCTCCTATGACGGCCACCCTGAGGCTTGGTACACGCACTGGGGAGAGAAAGGTCCCGAGTTCGAATCTAACCAGCACCATTATCCCAACATGCAACCGCCCAGCACCCTGTGGTACCACGACCACACCTTGGGAATGACACGGCTCAACATGGTCGCAGGGCTTTTCGGCGCGTACATTCTGTCCAATCGGCAGGCGGAGCGAAAGTTTAACCTGCCCGCGGGGAGGTTTGACGTGCCGCTGCTGATCCAGGATAAGTCGTTTTTGTGGAACGGGCACATTTTCATGGAGGGGAAGGGCGTGACGAGCACGCATCCGGTCTGGGTACCAGAATACTTCGGGAATTTCATGATTGTTAATGGGAAGGTACGTGTTTTATTGTTGCTGCATGGGGGTTGGGTATCGCCTGCAGCAGCAATGACTGGGTTACTGAATACTATTTGCAGGCTATGGGTGCTCTGCTCTGGTCGCATGAGTGCTCTGGTGGCATGGTTTGCATTGCTCGTTTTGCACTTACTCCCACTCACTCCCCACACAAGCCCTCGTTAACAACTCCCCCTTACAAGTCACAGACTCCACCTTGTCAATGGCTGCAACACCATACCAATGCCCCATGTCCCCCTCACACCAGTAACAACCCCATCTCAAACCCTATCTCCCCCATCCCCAGGTGACTCCCTACATGGCAGTGCAGCGGCGCAAGTACCGCTTCCGTCTCATCAACAGCTGCAATGCGCGTTTTCTGGACCTCACCCTCAGGACCTCACCCTCACCCCGTTTCTGATGGCAGCAGCAGCACCACCAACGGCACCAGCATCACCTTTCCCTTCCTCCAAATTGCGTCGGAAGCCGGTTATCTCAACCGCCCCGTGTTCCTCCGCAGAATCACCCTTGCTCCCGGGGAGCGCGCGTGTATCATTGTGGATTTCAGTCAGCTGCCTGCGGGGACGACAATTCGGGTGAAGAACCGAGCTGCTGCACCGTATCCCGGGGGTGATTTACCCACGGGGGATCTACAGTACGTCATGCAGTTCAACGTGGAGGGTGACCCGGTTGCAGACCCCTCCACAGTGCCAGCCAGGCTTAACTCTATCCCGCTTCTCAACCTCAAAAACATCGCCGCAACAAGGGAAGTTACTCTTTCAGAAATGGAAGACAAGGCAACTGAGGAGCCTTTAATGGGCATGATTGACATGAAGCACTTCAACGAGAAAGTCGACATAACGCCGACATACAGGACCCGAGAACTATGGTACCTCATCAACCTCACGGAAGATGCACACCCGATCCACATCCACTTCACCCCACACCGCATCCTCTTCCGCCGCCCCTTTAACAAGGGGCTCTACGAAACTAGGAAATGCAGCATTCCTGCAGGGACCTGTTTCACTGGTCCGGCGATTTCGCCCAGGCGGAACGAGAGGGGAATGAAGGACACGACGAGGGCTCCTCCAGGGTATGTGACTGCTCTGGTGGTGGATTTTTCGCCGTGGATGGGGAAGGAGCTGAGCTTTGATCCCACCAAGGGACCGGGGTACATGATTCACTGCCACATCTTGGATCACGAGGACAACGACATGATGCGTCCTTTCAAGATTCTGCCAGCTAAGTAGTGATGAGCTGGTGCAGAGGGCATGGGCATGTTGTCGCTGGGTACATGGTTCATTGCCACATCTTGGATGATGAAGATAATGACATGATGCGCCCTTTCACCATACTGCCAGCCAAGTAGGTGTAATCTGACGATATGCAGGGGAGGGGATGGGGTGGGGATAACTAGATAAGGTGGTGGGAATTACGGCAGAGGCGGTCACATGGGAGTGGAGGACACGAGGGGGGGATGGTGTATTCGACAAGCAAGCATGTACGGTAGGTAGAGGTTTAGGAAGTGGGAGGGGTACCGTACCTGTCAGAAGAATGTCACTGAAATAGGAATTAACAACTATATTTGTAAAATTTCCACCTTGTTGTAACGTTTTTACAGTAATATTATTGATACCAATTGCTGACTATTGCATATGAGGAGGAGAAACCCTTTGCTGCAGCCCTTATATTTACCTGCTGAGAAAGCCAGCATACATTCCTTAGTGAAGCTTTTTTCAGTATGCACCCACCCATTCCCATTGCACCTGAGGCTAAGTAGGCGGAATGTAAAGTCCAGATCGTCAATCCCCTCGGCCACGTTGGCATCTATTATCATTTCAGGGTTCACACAATAGCGAGTCGGAATCGAGCACATAGTATCCCCCTTTTTGGACCTGGGGTGAAACGGAGGACAACAAGCAGAGTACTTGCGTGTCGCGAGTTGGTTGGTGCCTCATATTGCTGCCAGGGAACGCGCTCCGTTCACTACGCCGCTCATATCACTTCCCCGCGTTGCGGTACGAGTACAGTACCATCAACAGGGAAACCAATTTCGTATTGATCAGGAAAACAATGTCTCCGCGCCCCCCTCCTCCGCTAACATGAGCGCAACATCACGTGCGCCGCGCAAAAATGCGCCTGTCCCGTCGCCAACACGTGGTTGCGGCTGTGTTTGCTTTGCAACGCAACTCAAGCAACAGCCCCTATTTGAAAAGCACAGTGGAAAATGGGTGGGGCTGGTTCCACAATTTCCAACCAGTCTATAAGCACAGTGGAAAATGGTGATAACCTGTAGTGATTTTCACCACCCAAGGGGTCCTTGCTCTTGGCGGCAGCCCTTCCACTTGACAGCGAGGACGGCTGTACTGTACCGTATCTTGAATTGTCTCTTCAGCCTTGGACCTTTGCATCAACTCGTCTCTCCCTCCGCGGACCCTCGCTTCACCTCCCATGCCGCGGAGGAAGAAGGAGAAACCTTGCCGCAATCATGGCGCTTCCTGGGTTCACAAAATTTCCACCCCCGATTCTCTGTTCTCGCCTCGCGCTTGGGCCTTCGTTCTGAGCACTGTTACTCCAGAATCTCGACTCCCGACTCTCACCGTTCTCGACTCTCGACTCCAGTGTCTCCAAAATCTCAACGTGATGTTGTATAGCGTACTATCTATATCGCTCACTTACTCCTCGTGGTCTCACCACCTGCAAGACTTTTCCTTTCGAGCCTTTCGGGTGGAAACGCCACGAATCCTGACGCGCAGTAGTCTGTAGTGGTGCGTTCGCTCATGGCTTCCCAGAGCCCGCACCGGCGGGTGGGCGCTTCTCAGAGCCCGCACTGGCGGATTCTTGCCGCGTCGGCGCTTCTCGCGCTGCTCCTCTTCTCTCCGCCCGTTCCCGCGCGCGCTATGGACGCCGCCGAACACGGCGGGACCGACGGCGGGGATCACGGAATGGATTCGCACGGCAGATTAGCGTCGCGGGACGTGTCGATTAGCAAAAAACGCGTGTTGCGGAAGAAGCTTAAGAAATTTGTAGATCCGCTGTCCCTTCCGCCGGTCGTCAATGCGGACCGGCTTTCAAAAGACTTCAGCCGAGCCGCTGCTCTCACCATCACTGCGTTTAGCGTGAAACGGGTGAGCCATTACTGGGACAGTTGCATTTGTGCTTCCGGTTCATCATTTCTCAACCATCTTAGCGTTATTTCTCCAAAGCGTCACCTTAACTGTGTAACGCGTCCTCTCTTATCGCAGAAATTCCACCGCGATCTGCCCCTAACCCGCGTGTACGCGTTCGGGCTCACGCGCAAGTCGGCCAGCGTGCCCGGGCCGACGATCGTGGCGCGCGTCGGAGCACCGCTGCACGTGACGTGGCAAAACAATATCACGGACGAGCAGCATATCATGCCCGTCGATTACACGCTCATGGCTCCTAAGCTCAAGAAGGGGGGCGTTCCTATAAGTACGTGCGCTCTTATCTGAATACCCGCATCCGCATCCCTTGCCGATACATGTTTTGAATCTCGGCTCCGGACGGGAATGTATTGTTACCAATATTGCGGTGTAGTGTTACAAGAACATTTGAGAAATTCATGTTCGTTTTCCCCCTCCCCTCCCCCACCCGCCACCCCGTTCCGCCCTCTCCTTCCCTCGGGCTACAGCTGTCCATGTGCATGGTGCGCAGGTCTCGAGCTTCTACGACGGCCACCCTGAGGCTTGGTACACGCACTGGGGAGAGAAAGGTCCCGAGTTCGAATCCAGCCATCACCATTATCCCAACATGCAGCCGCCCAGCACCCTGTGGTACCACGACCACACCTTGGGAATGACGCGGCTCAACATTGTTGCAGGGCTTTTTGGCGCGTACATTCTGTCAGATCCACAGGCAGAGAAAAGGTTTAACCTGCCCGTAGGCAGGTTCGACGTTCCACTGCTGATCCAGGATAGGTCGTTTCTGTGGAACGGGCACACGTTTATGGAGGGGAAGGGCGTGACTAAATCGCATCCTGAGTGGGTTCCTGAGTACTTCGGGAATTTCATGACTGTAAATGGAAAGGTACGTTTTGTAAGGTTGCAGCATGGGGGTTGGCTAGGGTGTCGCCTGCAGCAGCAATGACTAGGTTACTTACTACTATTTGCAGGCTATGGCTGCTTTCGTGGCATGGGTGTGATGGGTTGCAATCCTTATTTTGTGCTCACTCCCTGATACAGCCCCTTCTCAACCACTCCCTCTTGCAAGCCTCACACAGTTCAACCAAACACCCATCACCCATCACCAACCCCCTCATCATCCCCATGACCCATCCCCACTTCCATCCCCATGACCCATCCACCACCGCCATCCCCATCACCTATCCCCAACCCCATCCTCAACCCCATCCCCATCCTCAACCCCATCCCCATCCTCAAACCCATCCCCATCCTCAACCCCATCCCCATCCTCATCCCCATCCCAACACCACCCCATCTCCCACCCTGCTCCCACCCTCTCTCCCCAGGTGACTCCCTACATGGCAGTGCAGCGCCGCAAGTACCGCTTCCGTCTCGTCAACGGCTGCAACGCCCGATTCCTAGAACTCGCCCTCCGGGCCTCGCCCCCTGTTTCAGACGGCAGCAACAGCAGCACCGCCAACAGTACCAGAACCATCACCTTTCCCTTCCTCCAGATTGCCTCAGAAGCCGGATATCTCAACCACCCCGTGCTTCTCCGCAGAATCACCCTTGGGCCCGGGGAACGCGCGTGTATCATTGTGGATTTCACTCAGCTGCCTTCAGGGGTGACAATTCGGCTGAAAAACCGCGCTCCTGCACCGTATCCCGGGGGTGATTTACCCACGGGGGATCTACAGTACGTCATGCAGTTCAACGTGGAGGCTGACCCGGTTGCAGACCCCTCTACAGTGCCGGGAATGCTTAACTCTATCCCACATCTCAACCTTGAAAACATCGCCGTGACAAGGGAAATCACCCTTGCAGAAATGGAAGACAAGGAGAGTGGAAATCCTCTAATGGGGATGATCGAAATGAAGCACTACAATGAGAAAGTCGACATAAGACCGACATACGGGACTCGAGAACTCTGGTACCTTATCAACCTTACAGGAGACACACATCCAATCCACATCCACTTCTCCCCGCACCGAATCCTCTTCCGCCGCCCGTTTAACAGAGAGCACTACGGGGAGAAGAAATGCAGCATTCCTGATGGGAGTTGTTACACTGGGCCGGCTGTTTCGCCCAGGAAGAATGAGAGGGGAATGAAGGACACGACGAGGGCTCCTCCAGGGTATGTGACTGCTCTGGTGGTGGATTTCTCGCCGTGGATGGGGAAGGAGCTGAGCTTCGATCCCTCTAAGGGACCGGGGTACATGATTCACTGCCACATCTTGGATCACGAGGACAACGACATGATGTGTCCGTTCACCATCCTGCCACCTAATTAGGTAGCTAACCGTGGTTCACGGGTAGGTAGCAAGCTAACCGTGGTTAGAAGCTTTGCTCGTGCTGAGGGCGCGTGCAGCTAGGTACACCAAGTAGGTGTCACCTGAGGCCTAACCAGTGGCATGGGGGAGGGGTGGGGAGGGGCTGGTAGATAAGATAAGCACTAGATACAGGTGTGGGGAGTTGAAAGGTTTGTATTGTCAGTCAGTAGCACGTTTCTGAAGGGGAATAAGGGTATATTCCTGCATGGACATTTGTGTCTAGAAGTGTTTGTGACGCGTATAAACAACATATACCGGTAACGTACAATGTCTCAAACGCGAATCGCCCTGGTGCTATCTTTACTGGAATTTCCATTGGTCAGCGTGAGACGCGCAGACGTCGCGAACGAGTTGCAAATTGACCCGTCGCTGGAAAACAGTCGCACGCGGTTCGAAATGTCAATGCACCTGGACGCCCCACAATGCGAATTTCGCGCGCGTAAAAATTCCCGCGCGTCGAAACCACACCCAAGCCAGGCGATTGAATAAAAGGGTGTACAGTCATTTGCGAAACCCAATCAAATGCGCACAACTGTACATTTCTGTCAAAATGTTATAATGCTTATATTGTGTAGGCTGTAGTAGGGTAGCCCACAGGGCTCTTGCTAACTTTTAGGCCCGTCTGACGTTTTCCAAGAAAAAAAAAATTCGTCTGGCCCTTATATGGAGGATTCCTGGTGGTCTTTGCCTCATACGGATTTTATAAGTTAGTATGTCGGCTCAGACAGATTTTCACGAAATCAGACATTTATTTAGTTATATAATCTACACACAGACTACACTACTCTACTCTATTACTACAGTTAACCATACATTCATATTGAACTAGGATTCACTATCGCTATCATGAGAAGAATATTCCTCGTCATCCCCGTCTAGCTCTGAATCTGAAGCAATGTGCTCTTTGCCATGGTCTGCCCGTCTCTGCCAGGGGCGTTGAGGGCGAACTCGGCCTGGGAGGAGGGATGCAGGAGGAGGAGGGAAGGAGAGAGGAGGGAGGAGAAGTGCGTGACGTGGATTGTGCCCACATGGTGCAGAAATACAGACATCAATCAGAGCGGTGCAGGTAAAGGACGAAGAGCAGGGCATGAGAGCGAGGTGAGGTGACTATCGTACAGATATGTGATTCAGCAAGCCCTGCCCTTGCAATATATGGCACTTCCTTCCTCCTCCACGCCCCCTAAACGCGCCTCCCCCCTCTCCCCCCTTCTTTCTCCCTCACCCGCACCACACGTGACACATGCACCAAGTCAATCCCTCTTTGTGCCACCCATCCATGCAGCCTTCACTCTTCTCCACTCGCTTGCACACCCACCCCCCTTCCAAATAACCCCCCCCTCTCTCTCCTCGCCCTCACCTGCACCACGTGAGACACATGCTCCACGTCAATTCCCCTTGAAGCAGCATCAGTGCACACCAGCACACCCCCTCCTTCCTGGAACCTTCTCAGTGCGCGCTCCCGCTCGTCCAGCGGCACGTCCTTGTGGTACACTGCACACCATGCCACGTCAGCACCCCTTTCTGCTGCCACATCAGCGGCTCCTCCTACCGCCATGTCATCGGCTACTACTGCTGACGTGGCAGCAGCAGAGGAGGACAGGTGGCGCTGGAGGAGCCGGCCAATGGCGTCCACCGATTCCACGTCGTTGGCAAAGACCATGGTCCGCTGGATGCTGTCCTGCTGCTCTGCACTCGGCACACCATTTGCACCGCTCTCCACTCCTCCCTCCAGCTGACCATTTCCACCAGCCAGCGCTCTCAGCAGTGCAGCGGCTCGCGAGCTGTCATCCACCTGATGCCAGTCGTGCCGTACACTGACAGAAGGGGGGTTGGGAGGGGTAGTGGGGGTTCGGAAAAATAGGGAAGGAGGAAAAGCAGGATCGATGAAGCGAATGGGGAGGGGCGAGTAGGGTTGAATTGGCAGCTAACGAACACTGAAGTGAGGCAGGATTGGGAGGAAGAAGAGGAAGGGGAAAGGGGAGGAAGAAGAGGAAGGGGAAAGGGGTTGAAGAAAGAGGAAAGGGGCAGGTGGGTTAATAGCTCATGGCAGCCCCCCCTTGACCACACAGCCTTTGGGTGTGTGTGGGTGTGCAGGTGTGGATCACGCCTAGTGCCGTCGGTTGACTCGAGGGCGCCAGATAGCATGGTGTGAGGTGGTGTATCACATCACATGAGGTAGTAGCAACACAGGAATTCTAGACGGTACGCGGGAACAAGCTACGGGACGATAGGTATGCTTTGGGCTAGGCGTCAAAGATTGAAAGGCAAAGGCAGGTTGTCAAAGAAAGGCTTGGAGAAGAAAGGAAGGGAAGGGACCATCACCTCACGAACCGCACCGCGCCTCTCTCACGAGGGTTTCACGAAGGTGGGTGCATGCTTTGTTTTGGTGTGCACCGACTGTCCTTGCACTCTGCCAGCGAGGTGGGGGGCAACAGCCTGGCAGCGGCGCCGACAACAGCTACCCAACAGATGCGTGGCAGCAACTGAGTCAGATGCAGTATGCGCTGGCAGGAAGAATCCGAAATTCACCCCCGTTCCCTCACGCAGAAATCATTACGCGTGCCTTCACATGGAACACATCGCTGCTCCTCTGGCCAACTGGGCTATTTTGTCTCTATCAGACGAATCAATACGTGATTTCTGCTTGATCAGACGAATCTATATAAGTTTCCTGAAAAAACATATGATGCTATAGCCTTGGTCTTGGCTCACATATGGCCCATAAGCTAAAGTCTGCCGCAGCATATGAACTACACATTTCGTGCCTGAAACCTAGACCAACAGACTAAATTAGTCTGCTAACGAGGGCCCTGGTAGCCCATAAGGGGTACAACCCAATTAGGGTTAGTACTTGTACCAAGTTTCTGCTCAATGCATTCATTATCGTTCAGTATTCTGACATGGTTTCAGAGCAGGTCCTGTTCCAGGACCGTTTTTTTTAGGGCCCACCGCATAGTTCCTTGCTCGTAGCGCTGCCCCACTGGTCGCGCTGCCCTACCCTGCCCTGCCTTGCCCTGCCCTGCCCATCGCGCCGCCCTGCTGGCTGCACGCTGCCCTGCCCTGCCCGTCGCGCCGCCATGCTGGTCGCGCACCGCCCTCCCCTGCCTGTCGCGTCGCCCTGCTGGCCGCCGCATCACCCTGCCCTGCCCGCGCGCCGCCCTGCTAGCCGCCACACCGCCCTGCTCTGCCTGCGCGTCGCCCTGCCTTGCCCGCGCACCGCACTGCTGGCAGCCGCGCCGTCCTGCCCTGCCTGCGCGTCGCCCTGCCCTGCCCGCGCGCCGCCCTGCTGCCCGCGCCACCCTGCTGCCCGCGCCACCCTGCTCTGCCCGCTATGGCTTCTCTCAGTGTTCTCACCTTCGATTATGAGGGCCGTCCGATCCAGTTCGATACGTGGCTCGATGTCTTACAGCTGTACCTACTCAGCGATTCTAGAGACAGCGTTTCGTTGTTTGACCACACGTCTGGAGCCTCTCTCGCCCCTCCCGCCACAGCCGACAGTGCGACTCGCTCACAGTGGCTTACCTGTGACGCTGCTACTCGCTTAGCCGTTCGCAACCACCTGCCGTTAGCTGAACGCGCTCACTTTGCCCAGCACAAGACTGCTAAAGCCCTGTACGACACTGTAGTCGCTCGTTACTCTTCCTCTGCCACTGCTACTCTCGGCCGCCTTATACTGCCCTACTTTTTTCCCGAGCTGTCAGCATTTGTCACAGTCGAGGACCTCATCAACCACCTTCGCACTAGCGACGCTCGCTACTGCTTTGCCCTCCTAGCCGAGTTTCTAGACAGGAACCCCCCCTGATGTACATCACTCTCTACTTCATAGTCACCCGCCTCCCTGACTCTCTTCACGCAGTCAGGGACCACTTTCTCGCGCTTGACCCCACAGACCTCACCGTCGACCTGCTCGAGAAGCACCTCTTTGCAACTGAGACTAGCGTAGTCGCTGTAGGTGCTGCTCGTGGCACTCGTCGCACACCCTTATTTGAGGGGTGTTCCCCCTCCCCCCTTGTCCCCTCCTACGCTTCTGCTGCTGTTGTTGACATCCTTGGTACTGAGGACGTCGGGCCTGCTTCTGCTCTTATTGGGAAGAGGCGCAGCGGCAAGGGCAAGGGGTAGCGTGCTTCTGACTACGAGCTTCACTCTCTTGACTTAAGCACAACTTTCTTACAGGGCAGCCTGCACAAGGAGATCAGGCTGCGCCGCCCACCTGGCTTCACTGGGTCGTTTCCTGCAGGTACCCAGTGGAGCCTCCGACGGCCCGTCTACGGTCTCCGCTAGGCGCCTTGCAAGTGGCACGACACACTGAGGACGACGCTTGCGGCTCTTGGGTTTGCTCTTTCGACTACTAACCCGTCGATGTTTCTGCGCACCGACACTTCGCTGCCGCCGTTCTACGTCCTCGTCTACGTTGACGACTTGGTTTTGCCCACTGCTGACACTGAGGCATTGGCCCTTGTGAAGTTGGAGCTGCAGAAGAGACACATCTGCACTGACCTGGGTGAGCTGCGCAACTATCTTGGCTTGCAGATCACCCGAGACAGAGCACGGCGCACCATCACCCTGACTCAGTCACACATGGTGCACCAGGTCCTTCAGCGCTTTGGCTTCCGGTACTCCTCGCCACAGTCCACTCCTCTGCCTACCGGTCACTTGCTCTCAGCTCCACCTTCGGACGAGGCCCTGTGACGGAGCCAAGACTGAAGGTGTAACCCTGTGACGACCGCTGCGTAGCCAAGTCGTCAACCCAGGAAGCGTCTGCGTGACCAGTGAGGACAACTCGAGCCCGTCCTCCAAGCACAAGCCCCATGCCCGACGTACTGCACAAGTAGCGCAACTCCCTCTTCGCAGCATCGCAGTGCACCTTTCGGTGCCTACCGGGAGCCACGTAGCGAGCCAGAAGGCTGAGAGGGTATGCGAGGTCAGGTCGTGTGCAAGTCATCAGGTACATGAGGCAGCCCACAAGCTCTGGATACGGGCCACTCGGCTCTACGGACTCATCCGAAGGTGGAGCTGAGAGCGAGTGACCGGTAGGCAGAGGAGTGGACTGTGGCGAGGAGTACGTGAAGACGAAGCGCTGAAGGACCTGCTGCACCATGTGTGACTGAGTCAAGGTAATGGTGCGCTGTACTCTGTCCCGGGTGATCCGCAAGCCAAGATAGCTTGTCAGCTCACCCAGGTCAGTGCAGGTGTGTCTCTTCTGCAGCTCAGACTTCACGTGGGCGAGTGCCTCAGTGTCAGCAGTAGCAAAGACGAGGTCGTCTACGTACACGAGAACGTAGAACGGCGGCAAAGTGGTGTCAGTGCGTAAAACCAGAGAAGGGTCAGCAGTGGAAGGAGCAAAACCAAGAGCAGCAAGAGTCGTCCTCAGTGTGTCGTGCCACTCACGGGGTGCCTGCCGGAGACCGTAGACTGGCCGCCAGAGGCTCCACTGGGTACCAGCTGGAAACGACCCAGTGAAGCCAGGTGGGCGGCGCAGCCAGATCTCCTCGTGCAGGCTGCCCTGTAGGAAGGTTGTGCTGAAGTCAAGTGAGTGGAGCTCGTAGTCACGCTGAGCGGCGACGTGCAGCAGTACCCGAAGAGTGGTCATCTTTGGGGTAGGGGAGAAGGTATGGAAGAAGTCAACTCCCTATCGCTGACTGGAGCCACGTGCAACGTAACGCGCCTTGAAGACAGGCGGAGAACCCGGCGGCCGCTTCACCCTGAAGATCCACATGCTGTCAAACATATATGCTTAGTTATATCTAGGCTTAGTTCATGTGTTTACATTTGTCTAGGCTATAGTGGGTTTAGCCTTAGGGGGTACAGAATTCTCTCGACATTCTACTTGTACCCTTCCTTGTTTCCTAGTCCATCATTCTCACCTAAGAATCTAACATGGTATTAAGAGCAACTAAGTCTTAGGACCTAGTCTCAATGGGCCCACCACCTACTGCACTACCCGTACCTAGCCCGTCGACTTTGTCGCCCGCGCCCGGCCCGTACCTAGCCCGTCGCCCGGCCCGTACCTAGCTCGTCGCCTCGGCCCCGCTGGCCCCGTCGACTTTGTCGCCCGCGCCCGGCCCGTACCTAGCTCGTCGCCAGGCCCGTACGTAGCCCGTCGCCTCGGCCCCGCTGGCCCCGTCGTCTTCGTCGCCCGCGCCCGGCCCGTACCTAGCTTGTCGCCCGGCTCGTACCTAGCCCGTCGCCCGGCCCGTACGTAGCCCGTCACCTCGGCCCCACTGGCCCCGTCAACTTCGTCGCCCGCGCCAGGCCCGTACCTAGCCCGTCGCCCGGCCAGTACCTAGCCCGTCGAACGGCCCGTACCTAGCCCGTCGCCTCGGCCCAGCTGGCCCCGTCAACTTCGACGCCCGCGCCCGGCACGTACCTAGCCCGTCGCCCGGCCCGTACCTAGCCCGCGCCCGGCCTCGTCTCCTGCCTGCGCCCGGCCCGTACCTAGCCCGTCGCCCGGCCTGTACCTAGCCCGTCGCTCGGCCCGTACCTAGCCTCGTGCCCGGCCCTGTACCTGCCCAGCGCCCGGCCCTGTACCTGTTTGGCCCCTCGGCCCCCAAGGCCCCTTGTTTGGCCCCTCGGCCCCCTAGGCCCCTCGCCCCCCCCCTAAGGCCCCCCCAGGCCCCTTGTTTGGCCCCGCGGCCCCTAGGCCCCTCGGCCCCACCTCAGAGCCTGGCGCCCGGCCCCCCGGCCCCTACTTTGGCCCCTCGGCCCCCTAGGCCCCTTGGTTGGCCCCTCGGCCCCCTAGGCCCCTCGGCCCCCCTAAGGCCCCCCCCGGCCCCTTGTTTGGCCCCGCGGCCCCTAGGCCCCTCGGCCCCACCTCAGAGCCTGGCGCCCGCCCCCCCCCCCCCCCCGGCCCCTACTTTGGCCCCTCGGCCCCCTAGGCCCCCCGGCCCCTACTTTGGCCCCTCGGCCCCCAAGGCCCCTTGTTTGGCCCCTCGGCCCCCTAGGCCCCTCGGCCCACCTAAGGCCCCCCAGGCCCCTTGTTTGGCCCCGCGGCCCCTAGGCCCCTTGGCCCCACCTCAGAGCCTGGCGCCCGGCCCCCCGGCCCCTACTTTGGCCCCTCGGCCCCCTAGGCCCCTTGGTTGGCCCCTCGGCCCCCTAGGCCCCTCGGCCCCCCTAAGGCCCCCCCCGGCCCCTTGTTTGGCCCCGCGGCCCCTAGGCCCCTCGGCCCCACCTCAGAGCCTGGCGCCCGCCCCCCCCCCCCCCCCCGGCCCCTACTTTGGCCCCTCGCCCCCCTAGGCCCCCCGGCCCCTACTTTGGCCCCTCGGCCCCCAAGGCCCCTTGTTTGGCCCCTCGGCCCCCTAGGCCCCTCGGCCCACCTAAGCCCCCCCAGGCCCCTTGTTTGGCCCCGCGGCCCCTAGGCCCCTCGGCCCCACCTCAGAGCCTGGCGCCCGGCCCCCCGGCCCCTACTTTGGCCCCTCGGCCCCCTAGGCCCCTTGGTTGGCCCCTCGGCCCCCTAGGCCCCTCGGCCCCCCTAAGGCCCCCCCCGGCCCCTTGTTTGGCCCCGCGGCCCCTAGGCCCCTCGGCCCCACCTCAGAGCCTGGCGCCCGCCCCCACCCCCCCCCCCCCCCCCGGCCCCTACTTTGGCCACTCGGCCCCCTAGGCCCCCCGGCCCCTACTTTGGCCCCTCGGCCCCCCAAGGCCCCTTGTTTGGCCCCTCGGCCCCCTAGGCCCCTCGGCCCCCCCTAAGGCCCCCCCAGGCCCCTTGTTTGGCCCGGCGGCCCCTAGG